TATGTGATAAATCAAATGCTATATTTGATAAATCGAATGATATATGTGATAAATCGAATGTTATATGTGATAAATCAAATGCTATATTTGATAAATCGAATGATATATGTGATAAATCGAATGTTATATGTGATAAATCGAATGTTATATGCGATAAAATCAACCATAAAACACAAATCGAATTATGACACAAACAACATGCCATAGATAGCCGGTCATCAGAAACATTTCAGTCGTAATATTAGCCTCGATTGCTATTTTTAAACGTGAATTATATACCGTACGAATCAATACCGTTGAGCTGCGAAGTTTCTGAAAGCGGCGTACAGTATCGCTCTTTTCTCGTGTGCTATTGAAGCGAGAAGGGTTAGGGTCCCGTTTAAATATAATCTTTTAAGCTTACATCGTAACTTAATTGCAGCCGTCGGCGCCGGAGTTGTCGTCTACGCTTTCTACGGCGACGGAGGCGAGGATGACTACAGGCGGGTCGCTGAAGCCCCGCGAATCGATCAGCTCCGCGAGTATCTTCAGTACGGGCGTGATGGCAGGAATGGACATGCTCACTCAAGGCGCGGCGTCTCTAGCCAGATACAACGTACGTGTCCCTGCCATCAGCAACAGGTAGTTCTCCACACCTATGTGTAGCCAGCCATTCACTCCAGAGACGGCCGTTGCTCTTCCAACGAGCACCGCGGTGTAGTGCTGCGATCTGTGGTCGTCGAGAGGGAGGAGGGGAGCTTGCATGAACGGATCTACTGTTTGTTTGCAGGGGGATCTGGTGTTCGTGAAATATCTACCAATCAAGAGCTTCGAAACGACGAACAAATTCCTCAAAATGGTAAAGATGGTAAGTAAACCGTATACCTCAGTGTCATGTGCGGCCGTGTATAGATAAAGACACCGACACACGCCCGCACGTACGCATACACGCACGCGCGCACGCACGCATTCAAAGGTTGTTTGAAAGGCCCTATGTTATTTCGTTACAGTTGCATGACCTGCGTCACGAGAACGTGAACGCGTTTGTCGCTTGCTACATCGATGGCCTCTCTCCCGCCCTGGTGCTGGAATTCTGCAGTAGGGGTTGCCTCATGGTAGGTGGCGTCACTTCCCGTTTTCCCATTCTTTCATTAAACGCATAAGTACCTGCCGGTCTGTGTACACACCTTTTTTCCTTCACCTTACTTCGTTCGCTAGAGTAACAAAATAATTTGATGTTTTACACGATAAATCAGTTGCTTAGTTGCTGTAAGATATTCGACGTTGCTGCATTCGACTATATTTGTGCATGCAGTCATTCTCCGCCAGCCGCGGAATATCATTAAAAACCTCTCTCATTTGTCATGCACGTATGTCCGCCGATACATGAAATACACCAAGAGCGTATTAAGAAGGTATACACCTTCTTAATACGCGTTTGAATACACGGATATAATTATCCACAAGTACTTGGGCTTCGTAAAGCGTCCATAGTGTGTTTGACGGTTTATTAGCAAAGAACATGTACGATTAGTGAAGAATATAAATCAAAGTTCTTGCCTTACTTTGTAAACCATAACGTATTATATTCCAATATAATTTTTTTTATTGCAGGCGAAAAGCTTATCATATATGCGTAGTACGCAACGTTTAAATTAAACGCTTTAGATGAGCCGATGAACTCTAACCTAGGCCACTACGTGGTGTTGTCACCTGTGATGTCACCTTCCAATTAACAAGTGCAATCCTTGCACAGCTCTTGGGTTTGTTTCTGACGTAACAGGACTCGATGTATTTTCTTATTCAGGACATATATACGAACGAAAATATAAAATTGGAATGGTCCTTCAAACTTTCATTTCTAACGGATGTAGTTAGGGTGAGTATCGATAAGCATAATACCTATACATAAGCAAAGATGATTTGATTGATTGAATTGTTTGATTGGTCGATTTATAAGTGATCGTTTGTTTGTTTGTTTAATTGATTGATTGATTGATTTATTGATGGATGGATGGATTGAATGATTGATTTGAATTATTATATGCTTCCAGGGCATGCGTTACCTTCACTCTTGCCCGCTTAAAATGCACGGACGTCTGACGTCACGGAACTGCGTCATCGACAGCAGATGGGTGGTGAAGATCACAGACTACGGCCTGCCGACGATCCTCGACGGAAAATCCGTCGCGAAAGCAACGACGGCAAAAGGCAAGCAGGCGGCGCAACGTCAACCACCGACAAATGAGGTTTCGGTTTCCTAGCATTCCGAGAACACACGCCGACAAAACAAAATGCTGCGTAACATTTACACAATAACACGACTACGGTAGCGAACGTAACATAGTATATCATGACGTATAGCAACAAACAGTAAAAAGTTACAAACAACTCATAGTGTGTTGCAACCTAAAAACACGACAAGATCAATGTACTTTTACAATGTACAATTACACAACAATCAATGTACTTAACGTAATTGTATCGATCGACCACTTTCCACTTTCGACAAGATTTTTAAAACACAAAATCGAAAGATACTTGTTAATAATAGTCTAATGACGAGAAGTGGCATTACCCTTATATTATATTATTATTATTATATTATATAATGATTGACATAGCAGGTCGACTTGGAATGCATACTCACACGGAAAAGACGGTTTCTATATGTAAACTGTGGCTTGGCTTATAGAGTTGATACGCGGGCGTTTCAAACTTTAAGCTGTGATCGCAATTGTGGTTTTATGTTTTGCACGCAGATCTGCTGTGGACGGCCCCGGAGTTGTTGCGGGACACTCTGATGATGACGCCGCATGCTGACGTCTACTCGTTTGCCATCATCTGTCAGGAGCTGATCTTGCGCGGACGACCGTTCTGTATGAACAAGCTCTCTCCCGAGGGTAGGAATGCTGGCCTTTCCTCCTTCACAGTCACGCTTACGCGAGCACGCTAACACCAGGGGTTATGAGTATGTTGTCCTTCCTCCCTTCATTTTCCCGCCAATTCTTCTCGTCCTTCGTTCATGTCCCGTCTCTCTCGTCTCGCCGTCGTCCCGTCCCATCCCGTCCCGTCCCATCCCATCCCGTTCCATCCCATTCTATTCCCACTCACCCATCCCATCCCATCCAATACCATCCCATCCCATCCCATCTCATCTCATCCCAACCCATCCCATCCCATCCCACTCCATCCCATCCCAAACCATCCCATCCCACTCCATCCCATCTCAAACCATACTATCCCATCCCATCCCATTCTATTCTCACCCACCCATCCCATCCCATCCAATTCCATCCCATCCCACCTCATCTCATCCCAACCCATTCCATCCTATCCCACTCCACCCCATCCCAAACCATCCCATCCAATTCCATCCCATCCCACCTCATCTCATCCCAACCCATTCCATCCTATCCCACTCCACCCCATCCCAAACCATCCCATCCAATTCCATCCCATCCCACCTCATCTCATCCCAACCCATTCCATCCTATCCCACTCCACCCCATCCCAAACCATCCCATCCAATTCCATCCCATCCCACCTCATCTCATCCCAACCCATTCCATCCTATCCCACTCCACCCCATCCCAAACCATCCCATCCAATTCCATCCCA